GTGGCGCAGTATCGAATCCTGCAGATCCCACCCCCCTCCAACTGGCGATTTGTTCCAATAGGCTCATTTGATTGCTCGTCGTTGGGTCACATCTACTGTGCCGCAGAGGTAACCAACGTTTGCTGACATCACAGGCATCAATGGCCGTAGCATTCGCCCCGTCAGCACCACCACGGCTATGGGTATCACCCGGATGGCCTCACAATTGTAGAGGTGGAAGGACAGTTAAAGGAGAAGGGTGTCCCGCCTGGCCAAGGTCATTCTGGAGATATTCTGCACATTCATATTCATCACCCACTCCTCACTAGATCATTGTCCTCCGCTACTCACGGACATTTCCCACTTATACCTATCAGGCAATCCAAGTCATCATCATGACCTCCATACAAAGTCAGATCGAGGCCGCCGCGTCAAAGAACAGCGAGCTCCTCTCGATCCTGCGCGAGACAGACCACGCAACACCTTCTCTCCTCCAGCAGACCCGTCTCCTCCACGACCTCACGACCGAGCTCCAGGCCTCGGCCAAACGCTGCCGCGACCTGGAGCGCCGCCGCGAGTCCGAGCTCAAGGACCACGAAAAGTACCGCGACAGCGTGACGCGCCGCTTCCTGCACAAGGCCGTCGGTCGCTCCAATCAATTCGCCGACAAGGCGGCCAAGGAGGAGCGCGAGTACTTTGACGTCTTGCAGGCGGCGCAGCGCGAGACGAGCCTGCAGGACTCGCTCAAGGAGCAAGCGGACCAGGCGCAACAGGTCAAGACCGACCTCGAGCAGCAGGTCGCGCGGCACCGCGACGCGCAGCGCGCGCTCGACGAGCTGTACGGCGGCATCTTTGCGGGCCCGACGCAGGGGTTCCCCGAGGAGGACCGCAAGGAGCAGGACGGCAACCAGGCGCTGCAGGCGTACCATGAGCACCGCGGCAAGGTCGAGGCCGAGCAGCACGTCATCCAGTTGCTGTCGCAGGGCATGCAGAAGCTCAAGTACGCGCTCGAGAAGATGGAGAGCGCACTGAGCCACTCGCGCATGGACATGTTCGGCGGCGGCTCCATGGCCGACGCCATGGAGCGGAGCAGCCTGCGCAAGGCGGAGCAGGCCGTGGCCGAGGCCAGGATGCAGGTGCTGCGCGCGCAGAGGATGAGCCCTTTCGTCGGCGACTTGCCGGACGTCGACATTGCGCAGGGCAACATCATATCGGACGTTGTTTTTGACAACATCTTCACCGACATGCAGTTCCACGACAAGATCAAGGCCAGCAGGGAGTCTGTTCGCAAGTGTGCCGCTGTCATGAACCAGCTGGGCTCGGATGCTAAGAGTCGACTCAATGCGCTTGAGGACGAGCTCAGGGAGAAGGAAGGGGTTCTCGAGAGCACAAGACTGGCGTTGCAGAAGGAGAGGGAGGCCGTCTTTGAGAGGGTTCTCGGAGGGCAGTTGCCTCAGACGTCGTCAGCAAATTCGAATGCCGTCGAAGCTCCGCAGGGTGCCAAGGCCATCGAGGCCGGGCTGGTTTAAGAAGGCTTCATGATTTTTGTAACATAGTTGATACCACGCGCAATGACATTCTCAGGTGTTCCTCTCACCACTTTCTGTGCATGTGCCAAGTCTTGTGGAAAGACTTCTACCACCTGCGGTTCTCCTCATAACCCCTGTTTGCCTCGTACCGTCTATCCTCGTACCCTTGATTGTGGCCGTAACCTTGGTTTTCGTCGTACCCACGGCTCTGGTTCTGACCAAAACCCTGATCCTGGTCTTGGCCGTAGCCGCTGTACCCCCTATCCTCCCGAATATGACGATGCGGTTCGCGTTCACGCCTAGACATCTCCGTCAGCTTTCGCAAGTACTCAAGTCTCACACAGATGCAGCAGGGACATGAACTTACGGGTCGTACTGCTCCAAGTCACCGTACTGGTTCTCATACAGGCTCTCAGCCTGCTTCTCTGCATGCCTCTTGGCTTTTTCCCTATCAATGTAGTCCAACCCCTTGGTCTCGACAAGCTTGTCAACCTCGGCACCAGCGAAGCCCGCGAGCAGCTCCTTGGCGAATGCGTGGTGGACGGGCTCTCCTGTGTCATGTAAGCCGCGGTCTACGCCTGTGGTGGGGGGACAATGCATACCATTCTTGCGCTGCCTGTCCTCGAAGAGCTTCATCGCCCCAAAGGCAGCACCGCCGGCGACGATCTCGTGGCTGAGTTTGGACTCATGGTCACCGCGGTAGGCGTTGTCGTAGTTGTCTTTAGCCTCGTCTGTCTGCGCATTAGATTTGCTCCAGGGCATGGGTTAGAGGGGCGCGAACCGAATCCGAACATCTTGCGGGAAAACTTGGTTAAGACAATGAATATGTATACGACGAAGACGATGTGACCAGGATGTGAGCAATCGATGCAAGTGAAAGACGAGCGCATTCGAGTTCTAGAGTCACATTGCGCGGGCTCGATGGAGATCTTATTCCTCGAAGCCAGCCAGCTCACAGCTACCCCTCCTACCGGCCCCCAGATACCCTCCCGAAGCCTCGCTGGCGCGAAACAAGCTTTCGCGGGCTGCCGACGGAGCGCCCCATCACGCCTGCACCTCCAATTCGTAGCAGCATAGAGGAGGGGACGCGTCAACCACACGGCACCGAGAGCTGACGCACGTTGGCGCCCAGGCTAGCCCTGCAACAACAAAGGCATCGCGGCGAGTCGAGTTGAGGGGTGCGAGGAAGCAGCAGCATCGAGCTGAAAAGGGACCCCTTCTTCTCGGATAGGGTGCCGAGTTTGCTCTGGCGGCGAGAGCCCGGGTTGGTTGGGATTGAGCCTCACGCAGCGCCGCGCGCATGGGAGGCTGACGTGTCGGGCCCGCGTCCGGCACATCGGCATCGCCACTTGCGCTCCCCCAGGCTCTGAGCCAGTCAGTGATGGCGGCACCAGGGCATGGCAGCTGAACCGGCCTGATCTATTTATGCTCATGTCTATACTTCTTCGAGGAGGCCGCTGCCGGTCATCCGGGCCCTATGCCGGCTGTCGTTCCGCGCCGATGGATTCGGGCGAGGCCGACAGGCGGCGATGCAAGGGTATGGAGGCATGACGGGTCGCTTGTCCCGGGGGGTGGGAGGTGGACTACCTCGGGAATTCTGGTCAAATTCAAGAGAGGGTGAATTGATTCCTCTCAACTTCAATCGAACTCCCTCGGTCCCGATCAAAGAACCCCGAAACAAAGAAGCGCCTGCAAACCTCGACACGTGGTACGCCACCAAGCCCTCGCGATCCCCTCAAGCCTTGGCCTTTGCAAACCTCTCCTGGATCCTCTTCACCCAAGACTCCCCATCGTAAATGGCGTTGACACTCTCCTTGTTCCTCACGGCGTCAGCCCACCTGGTAAAGTTGGGCGCCTGCTCGGCCAGGTCCGCGACGATGGCCTTGGGCAGCAGTCCATATTCCGCAGACGAATAGACGCGCAGGATGAACGAGCCCGTTTGAACCTGTGCGCAAACGTTAGTACGCCTCACTCGTTCACCCACTGACACCTGGCATCTCGGGGGCAGGGGGGGCTCACCTCCGCCAGCGTGATCTTGTCGCTGCCGCCAAAAAAGGGCGCGGCGTCGCTGAGGAGCGGCTCAATCTCCTTGACAATAGTCTCGACCTTGGTCCTGGCCAGCTCGGCCTTCTCCTCTTCGGAGCTGGCGCCGATGATCTTGAACAGCAGCGGGTTGACCTTGGAGAAGTACGTGTCGACGAAGAAGTTGATGCGCGCACGGCGCAGGGCGCCGTCCTTGGCGTCCGAGGCCGGGAGGAGGTGCGAGGGGTGGGCGTCGGCGAGGAACTGGGCGACAATGGCCGACTCGGTGATAATCTCGCCGTTGTAGGAGAGGGCGGGAACGAGGCCGCGCGGGTTAATCTTGAGGTAGGCCTCGGTGCGCGGGGTGTTGAGGTCGATGATCTCCTCCTTGAAGGGGAGGCCGAGCTCGGCGAGGGCGATGTGGGCGCGGTGCGCCCCTGATGGGTGTGAGTGTCACGATCGGTGTCGCGAGGAGAGAGAAACAATCGGCTGACTTACAAGGGCAGCCGTGGTTGGTGTAGAGGATGAGCTCGGGGGCTGAAGCCATCGTGACAGGCGGATTGGTTGGGGTTAGAAGTATAATGAGAGTGTAGACCGAAGGGTTCAACGATCGAGTTCAAGTTATATTGTGACTTCATCAGCATCGGCGAGGGATGTCACAGCTATTTATCGACCTTCAATCTCCCCCCGCCAACCCCTCCTGACCCATCCCAAGCGGGCGTCGCATCATCGATGTCGTGATGGGACTGGCTTGCATGAGGTTGAGGCGCTACCACTACGAATGCCTCTCCACCACTCTATTCCCCGCAATGTCACTCTGCCATTGCCTGAATACTCGCTGATCCACTTGCTTGGTCAGTCAAACACCATCAAGTTTCCATCAGACGCGTGGTGTCGGATCTCAGGCAACCTTGATGATGATGCGGACAAGCCTCCCAACACCATCTCTTGACCAATCTTCCCTCTTTCAAAGACATGTATGCGTGTCAGACGGAGAAAGTCAACCGTTCTTGGTTTTCCACGGATATCTGGTCCGCATTCTTGGCTGGACAGGCGAGGGAAAATGCCCCTAAGTCCGGAGGCCTAGTCCAGTCTTCCCGTGGGCGGCTGATGACAAACTGCTGCGCTGACAAATCGAGCTCATCGGCCCCTGTGCTGCGAACTCTCTTTCGTTCCGATACATTGCAACGACAAGAGACAAAGACATGCCAACAAGGCGGTTCCTGCTTCGGACGGCTTCGATCAGGACCATCATTGACCACAGCATGCGCACCTCTACCGCGAAGTGCCTGATCGATTTCTTGTGCATCGGGCTTTATACTGCGGGCGCCAGTCAAAGTGATGCACGGTTCCGGATTGCAGCCGCCCCAAGTATGCTACAGCCGTTGGGCAAGGAGTCTTCAAGGATCAGACGCTCTTCCGCACAATTCCATCATGCCTTCGAAACCTCCGTGAAGCTATTTATTCTATTAGATGGCGAAGGATTAGAACCCTCAAGCGCGTACACCCACTGGACTTGTCGGAAGCTGTTCCACCAGTTATGACCTTGTTGCAAGTTTCAGCTCTTAATGCTAACGACATAGGGGCCGTATCCGGCCACGTACGAGGGCCTGAAGGGCGAGGCTGTCAGGTTCCCTGGCTTCCAGTGACCGCTCATAGGCGGCCGGTGGTGACATGTGTAAGACCAGTAAAACGGCCGAGCACCGCATTTGTCTGCCATATTGACGGGGCTTTTCCAAAGCCTGCACATCTTGAGTGAGACTTTGGCGTAGGGTGCCGCGTCGGTACGGATTAAAATTCAGAGCACAAGAACTGTCCTAACGTACAGGTAACTTCTCAGGCATGTATTTGCCCCTGTCGACCATATAAATGAACCGATGAGGCGATCACTGGCCACATCAACTGGACACATTGAATGAGCCACATATATCTTCGGCATCCCACAATTGCACAGAATCTCTCTGCAGTAAGCCAAAGCCATGATCACGATGAAAATTCTACATTCTAACACTAACGTCCAGTACAGCCATCAGCCTGGGCTACAGCCTTTATCTGACGTACTCTCACATCCAAACAGAACCTTGGAAACCCCCTCTTCTACTCATGGTATATCCTCCAAACACATATGAAATCTAGTCTTCTCACACCATGTCGTTCGGCGGCTTGGAGGCCGTGCTCCTGCTGCGAGCGCGGCCAGTGAAAATATGCCTTCGCGACGTCGAGTCCTGGCTGGGTCGCGCGGCGCCGCTGGTACGGGCAGGGCTACTGTCACGATCCTGGCTGCTTCGGCCGTCACGGAAGTTGCTGCTGCTGTTCTCGCGAATGCTCTGCAGCCGCGAAATCTTGGGGGTGTGCTCGGCCTTTCGGCTCTCGAAGACGTCCTGGAAATCAACGAAAGATTCTTCAATCAGTGGAACAGAGCGAACAGCAGGCGTATAGGTTTGACGAGAGGCGGTGGATGCGCCGGACGTGACGGAGGTCGAGTGCCGCAGAGGCGGCGCCGCAGCAGAGCCGGATACTGCTCCGGGGCCAGACGTGCCGCTGGGCTTGGTCGCGGAGTTTTCGTACGACGGAGGTGGCGCGGCACCAGCCCAGTGCAGGGGGAACTCGCGAGAGCCACCGGGCTGCACCTGCCACGGTCCCTGCAGGCCAAGATCGCGAATCTCAACCATGAGCTGAGCAACGAATTTGTTGTGGCGTTGCAGACGCAACAGTTCGTTTTGAAAGTTGGACTTGTGGAAGAAGATGAAGTTCATGGTAAAAGACTGCACATCGTTCAGGGTGCGAACTTCGGTCAGCACACTAGGCTTGTAATCGCGCTTGTTGGCCAGGCAGTAGTCAGTCATGCGAGCCTTGAGATCCTCGATGAGCTGGGGGTCGGTGCCGAATCCGAGACGCAGCTCGACGGGGTCTGCGAGACCGGCGGAGCGGCGCTGGTTGAGGATGAACAGAGTGTTGAGAACCGAGTTGGGCGCCTGGACAATGTGCCCCTCCATCTTCTTGAACTCGGTGTAAAGTAGGGAGATTTCAGTGACGTATTATTCATCGCCCTGGAGGGTCGTGCCGGTGTTACCGTACACGGTGATGCGATCGCCGACGTCGAATGGGTGCTTGACAAAGACGAAGATGATCGACTGCAAAAACTCCTGGGCAGTAGCCTGAAGCATCCACGCAAGGCCCAGGACAGCTGAGCCAGCGGATGCGAGGCCGGCGGCCGCCGAGCCGGAAAGGATCGTGATAAACACAATGATGGAGATGACAAAAATGATGAAGAAAAAGACCTTGTCAAGCTTCTGAATGACGGAGTCCAAATCCTTGAGGGAGGCAGCAATGGCCTTGCGCTCAAGATGGATCTCGTTGCAAACGCACTCCATCTCTTCCATGCTGATGTCGCCATTGAAGTCCTTGTCGAAAATGCCAAAGGCATGTTCAGCTTCCTCCTCCGTCTTGAAAGCAATTCGCATGTCATCCTCGTAGATGGTCTCGTTGTTGGGATTCAGCAAGGACCGGTAGATCAGCCGAGCGAGAGAGTGAGCCGATGACGACGTACGCAACAGCTCGAAGACAATCTTCTTCGAATGGTTCAGATCGGTCTTACGGCCGATGAAGTCGTTACCGACACGGTTCGCGAGGCCACCAGCCTTATTGAACACCTGGCGGACATTGTTGTGCAGCTGGGCCATGGGCGTGCGGCTTCCGGATCCTTCCCTGGCTTCACCGGTTGTCTCCCAAATGGCATCGTCGTGAGCAATCTTCTCTTTGGCGTAGTCATACAGGTGAATGAGATGATGAATGTCGCTTCTGTTGTCCTCGATACGCTTGGCGTAGGTGCGCTGGTGGAAGGATGTGGCGATCCACTGTATGATGATCTTTTCGATAAAGTTGAGGGCAGAAAGGACAAATATGGCGATGATGACCTTGTACACAGTATTGATCCATTCGACCGAGCCATCGCCGTCACCAGTACGGGGGACTCGGTGGCTGTTGTTGATGGGCTTGAAGGAGACCAAAACCGAGAGCATCCATATGAAGAGCGCTGTGTGAAGTTCAAGGACACGACCAATGTCCTTCCACTTTTTGCCGTTGTTGGAGCCCATCAGAGTAGCAATGCCAGCAAATGTGGGTGGCATCAGAGACGTGATCATGCGAGCGCCCCAGATGGTGCACCACACAATCATCAACCATATGCCAAACCACATCAGCTCGACACCTCCATCACCGCCAACAGGCCGGTCGCCAGGGCTGAAATATCCGATCAGGATGGGAATCAACAAAAGCGTGGCGCCTGGTAGCAAGTAGAAAAAGTAGCGAAAGCAACGCGGGAGCTTCTTCAGCCAGCGAAGGAGCCAGTAGCCAAAGATGCCGGCCTTCTTTTCGGGAGGCGGGCGCTCGACCTTCTCGTCCTCTACTGGTTTACCGGCGAAGAGATCCTCAGGCTCGGGCTGGTGTTGGCGGCTACGAGAGCGGGACCGGTTCAGCTCGTTCTCCTGATTGGAGATGAGACGCTCGACACGGAGAAGCTCGAGGTCGTCGGTGAGGCGGCTTGCTTGCTCGCGGGTGCCACCGCCATTGGGAGAAAAGGGCCCTTCTGTCGGAGGTGCGAGGTGGTTGTGCGAGTCCACGTGGAGGGGCATTAGGGGCCTTTCATGACTGGGCTTTTGTGATTCCGTGTGGGACTGGAGATTGGTCGGGTCGTGGAGCGTTTCGGCTGTGTGGTTGGAGTGCTTCTCATCATACTCGTCGTGCTTCTGGTTGACTGGAGACGACATGGTGCCTGGAGTGGCCTCGGAGACCAAATCAATGGCAGTTTTTCGATGGAGTCGTTCTGTTAAGGATGGTGTTGATGAGCCTGAGGGTTGTGGAGCAATGCGTAGCTATGATGAACGGGGAATTCAAGAAGCTGGAGATATTGCCGAGGCCAGAGTCGGGGCGCCTCAGAGGCCCTGCCCTGAAGCTTTTGGAAATCGTCAAGTCCAAGGATCGACCAAGGAAAGCAACTTAGGTACCTAGATAGGTAGATATGTAGAAATAGCTAAGAGAAGAAAGAAAAAAAGGCCTGAACCCAACGAGTCGGTTCGGCAGGATGCAGCGGATGGATGTGTGGTCACTTTGGGCTTTCACGCGTCAACGACAGACGAGGAGGGATAGAATGACAAAACAATGATGAGAAAGTGCAGGAAGGAGCAGGGGAAATAAGTTCGGAAGGAGAAATCGAGAAAAAGGGACAGGGAAGGGAAACAGCGACCATCAATGGATGCGTGGAGGTGGAGAGGAAGGAGGTGGAAGTGAGAGAGAAGGTGCCCCCAAGGTGGAACCCAGGGTCCATCGAGGGAAGCTCCAGACCATGCTCGATTCGATTGCATTGAGCGCTCGAGGCTTGGGATTCCTCGGAGTTTACCAAACTCAGGAAAAGAATCACCCCTCCCAGGCGTTTGCATCTTGCAAATCTGTCTGTTCTGCCGTCAACCGTCCACCACCAAGATGCTCAAGGTGGGTCGAGAGGGGCCAGGAGCCTTGGAGTCTTGTCACAACCTCCTTCGTCATTTCGATCAGGGACCCACCACGCTCCAGTCTTTCTCTGCGCAGCACACTTGGCACGTCGAATCAAACCTCTGATGAATCCCACCGTTTCTAGCGACGGTGCGAGGCGAACGATGATGGCCCAGCGGGTCTGTTCAGAGTCTGTTCAGAGGTCTGTTTCCTCTTGTTTGGAGGCTTTCATCATCCCAATGTCGACATGGCTCCGAATAGACGTCACCGAACGACTTCTGACGGCAAGACTAGTCCAAGCCAGCAGCTTCCGACGATCGGACTGCCGAGTGGGAAGTGAACCGATCCTTTCACTACGACCTGTTGTGAAGCTTCGCGGCATTTCGATACCTTTTGACGAAAAGATCTGATGAGCATGGTCGCCCGTTCAGCCTCTTCCTGGCGCTGCCTGCCGGCGCGTTCCTGACACCGCGATCACCACTCTGTGTCGTCTTTGCGGCCATGCCATCCATTCATAGGCCCTCGGGACAACGACGATCCCCCAACAGCACACCACTACAATCTCTCGCTTCTGCAGGGCAAAAAAGCCACAAGCTCGTATCACCTGTACTGCCAAGGGGGAATCCGCTCACTCACATGCCTGGCAATCGCGGGACGAACACGTCGAACCGGCATGAAGAAAAAGATGGCAGAACTTGAAGCGAGCAAAACACCAGGCCTGACGTCACGGCGGGCCCTCCCAACTCCCCGAAAGCACCGACCGTTCAGCATCCACAAGGCCTCTAAGACCTCCCCCCTTGTCTGACGTCCCCTTGGCAAGAAGGCAGGCCCACAGCCGCCAAGCCCGTGAAGGGGGCCAGCAGCGAGCACCGTCCGGTAAGGGCCCCCTCCCACTGGGTTGCCACCGCACCCGTACCGCCGGCACCAACAGTGCGCCGTTCGCCTGCCAAGACCCGCGAGTCCCGCGTCCAGGGCCGGCGCCGTGGGATCACCTAGCGTTAGATAATTAAGGTGCGCCAAATTCGGCACCTTATCTGACGGTAGACGGGCACCGCCATGCGCTTGAGGCATTGTGCCTTGCCCTCCTTCTCCTATTGCCTGCATGTGGCTGTTTCATTTCATTCCGATGAGAGAATTCCGATGAGAGGCGCTGTTGTGCGAATCAGGCCTTCCATGTCCTAGCCTTGTGTTGGCTCGATAAGGTGTCGGGATTGTTCGAGACCGCGCCCGCCTGGCTCCCCGAATGGTTCTTGCTCCCGAACGCGTCTCTGTCTGGTTTGAACGTCCATCGCCCAATTTACTTCCACTTGGGCAGCTTGCTTGATTACAGGGCACGTTGACGCCACCCGCCAGCAATGCAGGAACATGTGCCGCCGATCAACGCCCCCTAACGCCATCTGGCCAGGGAACACATGGTGCACTGAGGCCTTGGGGCGCCTTTGCCGCCCGCCACGGACACCCTGCGGCCGTCGTGGTTTGCCGCCCGTGTGGCGCCCGGCCGCTAACTAATTCTTTCGGCCCGCCTGCCAACCGCTGTTTTGGTCGCGCCATCTCTCTGGCTTCCAATGCTGGCGGGCCGCGCTGGCGGCTGGTTCTGTTGAGAAAAGACTCTCAGACACGCCAACAAATGCATGTTTGGGGGATTTTTACCATGCTCTGTTCCAGGGAGGCTGTGATGAGCGGCTGGCGGTTTTAAAATCCCGCTTGTGAGAGTTTGATAGATTGCTGGTGATTTCGATTTAACGTTTTGAGTGTATTCTGCTGTAGGTAGCTTGAGTTTTCTGCCCTCTTGGTAAGTAGCTCCAAAACGAATTCAACAGGCGGTAGTCTCGTTTGACACCTCGGCCCCGACCATCGTTAACAGCTACACAAGATGACAATGTGTCGAAACTTTCATCTTGGGGTAAGAGCAGTCCGTGGAGTCTCGACTGCGCCTTTCATTGCGCCGAGTCGACGGCAGACGGCTACCGCTCCGCAGGACGTGCGGTCTCTGTGAAACCCCATAGGATGTAGCCCAGCGCCGTGTAACCGCCAGCAGCGAGCGCGAAGCTACACCGATCACGCTCCTCGGCCTCTGCACACCAGCATCAAGCACGTCTCTCAACACCATCCACCGTTCTGCCACCGTTTCCCGCGCCGCTCCCAAGATCGTCGCCTCCACTCCACACACTCATCCGAAAATACACACGACAGTCCAGAACCCTCGATCAACAGTCCCCAGCTGACCCACCAAGAAAGGGTAGCGAATCGTCGATCGACCGAGATCATGATCGAGCACAGCCGGAATACAAGCAATGAAATGCGATGGCCTGTCTTGGTATCCTTGCAAATGATATACCACAGTGACACTCGCTGCCTCATGGCGGCGGCCCCAGAAGCCTAAAGACCAGAACCCCCCGCGCAAGCGATCGGCATGATGAGGTAGGTCTGCTTCTTCCCCGCTCCGCCTCTCCCGGAAATTTTAATGTGCTTCGGGTCGGACGGCATCACAGATTCTTCGGGGGTGGTGCCCCGTTACTCTTCGATGGCTGCATGGATGCGGTGGCAGTATGCTCGCAGACATCGACCAATGTCTCGTACCAAGATGGGGTTCACGATATGAGCTTGAGAATCGGCCACGAATCATTTTGACAGACCATCCAAATTTCGTGAGTCTGCGAATGCAGAACAAGTGACATAAATCGTGTGTACGCAAACCAAGATATTACTTGATCAACTTTGGCTCGGTAGCCTTCGGATAACCCACTCTATGCTAATTTGATAGTCCAGTCAGCGCCGATGCGCGCACCGACGCGGCCAACCACCGCGAATGCCGCCCGGCCCTTCTCCGCCTTGTGGTAGCGGACCTGCGCCGTCCACGTCTTGCCCTCCGACTCAACCTCCACCGCCGCCTTGTCCCACGCAGCCGGGGCTCCGACAACGACAATCTTGTCGACGTGGACAGCATCCATAGCCTCGAGCCACTTGCCCGCCTTGATGGCCTTGGTATCACGGCCCTCGGCGTCCACTGACGAAAGCGTCTTGGCAGCCTTGTCGAGGTTGAACTTCCGGTGGATGTATTGCCCGCCCTCGTAATCAAAAGAGTCGCCGTCATCGACGTAGAGTTCGCCCTCAGCGTTGCCGACCTTGTTCACGGCGACGACCAGGGTGTAGTCGTCGAACCTCATGAGATGGCTCGAGCGACGGGGAATATCGCGACGGGCAAAAATGTGACCGCCGCGCATGAGGAGCGCCAGCTTCTCGAGAGGCGTGGCAACTGAGACGCGCTTGCCCTTCGACGTCGACTTGACATCATAAGTGAAGTAGTCGTAGTAGACCTCATCATCGGGAATGTAGATCTCAACCGACTCCTGGTTCTGCTCCACAACAGGCTTGTGAAGAAGACCAGTCGAACCAACAAACAGCTGGTCGTCAATGGTGAAACCGCCCTCATCAGAGGGATGGGTCCAGTACAGGGGACGCACGATGGGGCTGCCGTTACGATGAGCTTCATGGAAGGCAGTGTACCAGGAAGGCAGGAGGGTGTAACGGAGACGCAGCGCCGCAGTGACGATACCTCGATACGGCTCGTCCAGCAGGTAGGGTTCGCGGCGGCGTGCATCGATATGGGCGTGTCCGCGGAAGAAGGGGTAGAAGGCGCCAGCCTGGTACCAGCGAACGACAAGGTCCGCCTCGGGATCGCCAAAGAAGCCACCAACATCAGAGCCGGAGAATGGGAAGCCAGAAATGCCCTGGTTGAGGATCATGGGGAGTGAGATGCCGAGATGCTCCCAGGACGCCTGGTTATCACCGGTCCACATGGCACCGTAACGCTGCGAGCCAGCGTAGAAAGATCGAGTGAGAACGAAAGGTCGACGTAGCTCGCCCTTCTCGCGCGTGAGGAGTGCCTGGTAGGTGGCATTATGGAAGGTCATGCCATTCAGGTTGTGCACGTCGCGATGCTCCCAATCGTCGAAATGGATGTTGTCCTTCGGCATAGTGACCTCTGGGCCGTTGAATACCGAGGGTTCGTTCATGTCGTTCCAGATGAAGGTGTTCTTGAGGGTGCCCTTGAACGCGTTGTAGTTGAAAAGACCACTCCACCACTCGATGGCCTTGGGGTTAAAGCAGTCAATCCAGTGAGAGGAGCCTGGCCAGCACCAGCCGTCAAAGATGTTGCCGTCCTTGTTACGAACAGCAAGTTCCTTGCTCTTAAGCTCAGAGACGACGCTGTAGCCATCCTTGTTTTTGATGTGAGGGTCGTTGATGAGGACAAGCTGCCGGCCGTGCTCCTCGAGGTGCGCGCCCATGCTGATGGGATCCTTGAACATATCTTTGTCCCAGTTGAAATACATCTTGTCGTCAGCAAACTCAATGTCGAGCCAAATGACATCGTAGGGGATCTTGTATCGGTCCATCTTGCGGTCGACATCTTTCACATCGTCATCAGAAACGTAGTTCCAGCGGCACTGATGGTAGCCGATGGCAAACTCCTGGGGCATGGCAGTCGTGCCGGTGAGTTGGACGTAGTTTTTAGTCACGTCCTGGGGAGTAGGTCCAAGGAAGACGAAGACGTCCAACAGACCACTCTCCGACATCCAGTGGGTGTTCGTAGTTGTCTTGGAGCCGACGATACCGCTGCTTTTATCCTTGGTGATATCAATCCATGTCTCGGCAGCGTTGAGCCAGAAGACACCCACAGTCGAGTCTTTGCGGTGGGCCTGCATGAATGGAATGGCGCCGTAGAGAGTCATGGGGCTGTCGAGGACGTACTCAAACACGTCTGCGTTGTACAGACGATAAGGTTCGGTGTACTGGCCGTCTCCACCCTGTGTCTGCTTGAGAGCCATGGGACCAGCGTGCTCGGGAATGCCAAAGACATGCTCGTAGCCCACGAAAGAGATATCGAGGGCGACACTCTCTGGGCCCCTGGGCTTGCTGTCTGTGTTTCCGCCAAAGGTCTCGTCCCACCAGGTGCTCTCATCATCACCAACCACCGTTTCGGGTGTTTCGGGTGTTGCGGCCTCTTCGCCCTCGATGGGCTTCTGCTCGCCATCGGCGGCTGGCTCGACTTTCTCAACGGGCTTCTCAATCTTGGGCCTCCAGTGCTCCACGTTAAGTAGTCCGCCATCGTTGAACTTGATCTGGGTGGCGCCGTCGCGCTGGAATTCAATCCCAAAAGGCGAGAGCTTGATCACTGCCTCAAACTTGTGGGAAGGACCGTATGCGACTGTAATTTGCGACTTATCCTGGTGTGTGATCTTGGCCTCCGTGTCCAAATCGAGCCCGCCGGTGATGGCCAACTTCTCCACTCCGTTGAATCGCTCCTTGCGAATCTTGCTGTCGTGCCTCAATTCAATGTCTTGCTTTTGGCGCCTCTCCTCGTCGACGGTAACACGAGCAGTGCCAGACTCGAGGAAGGAGATGGTTATCGGCAGTCGAACCGTATCCTTCTCGTCATTGATCGTCTTGAGAATGATCGCTTCGAGCTGACCATCCTGAAAGGAGGATGATTCGGGGAGGATATCGTATGGGGCAGTCCACGCTGAGCCCTTGGAGTTGATGCTGTCGGCATAATCACGGTTGCGCTTGCAGAAGCCAGACTGGTGGCATTTCTTGAAGTCGTGTTCCTTGACGGCGACTTGATCAGTCAGCTTGCTAATTCAATCAAAGTTGTAGGGATTAAGGTTGCGACATACATGCTGAGGGGATCAGAGTGCCGAAGGACAGCAGACCGAGGATGGCTGTCCGCCTCAAGGAAAAAGGGCTGGGAGGCCCCATGGCGAGAATGACGGACGATGCTACAGAAATACAAAAACAAAAAATAGAGAGTGAATTTTCAGCGCAAAAAGGCAAGCATTGACATGTCAGATTGTAGCTGCACGATGCTGTAGTCTTGTTGTTGAAGATGCTGAAGGCGCTTATGATGATGTTGCCAAATGTCCACGATGTTGACCTGGTGGCAATAGCGACTTGAGCTGTCCTTCGGGAGACCCATTCAGGGTTAGCGTCGAAACGGGACACAGGGGGGTGATAACCCCGCGTTGTGTGTTGACTCTGATACGTGCATAGAACGGCATCAAGGTCTGAGAACACGCCAGTCGTGTGAACTTCCGCCGAAGTCTTTCAAGCTTCAGGATGGCTGTTATAATTCATCCTGCTTTCACGATTCAATACCTCCGTTGCTAGCCTATGGCGGCGCAGAAGCGGCAATCTGCGGATGGTAGGGTGGAAACGTATTCGCGAGACCAGGTGTATTCAGGAAACAGGAATAGAAGATAGTTGGACGCCCTGGCCAAGCTGTGTGGGAAGGAGCTCCAAATGCCAGCTTTGTGCATCTCATTATAACGTCAATTTGAATAGGCATTGGGTCGAAGCGTCCGTCTTTGCGACCTTCTGAACATCTTTCTGGGATCAATCTATCTACAGCAACTGGTTTCTTCTTGTCCAACGCATTCGATTCCGCGCATCCACAAAGAAACGGCGATACTGATTCTGCTTCG